ATCACCATGTACTCCAAGGCCATCGTCGACGCAGAGTGCTGGAAATTAGACCCAAAGATGCTGCCAATACCGTGGCGATCAGTAGAGCTTCCGAAGAAGCTTAAGATCGCGGTGCTTTACAACGACGGTATTTGTTTGCCTACGCCACCTGTGACACGTGCGCTGAAGGGGGCGGCGGTCAAGCTGAAGAAGGCTGGGCATGAAGTTTTGGCTTGGAATCCGAAGTTGCATGCTAAGGCGATAGAACTTCTGGGGCGCATGTTCGTTGCTGATGGAGGGAAGAGCGTTGAGGCTTTACTCGGCGTAACAGGCGAGCCGTACCGCCCAGAAATGCTCCAGTACAAAGACGCCAAAGAGCTGGGCGTCTATGATATGTGGAAGTTGCATACGGAGAGATCTGAGCTACAGCGGCAATACCTGGAACAGTGGATGGCAATTGAGGGACTCGATGCCATTCTAGGTAGGCAGAGAACTGACTTTCATGAATCATTCTTTTCTAACAATCATTAGCTCCAACAACCCCATACTCAAGCGTAGCGCACGGCGACTTCAAATACGTCGGATATACCGGCGTGTACAACGTGGTTGACTACTCTGCTACGTCGTTTCCTTGCGGAATCTCGGTCGATAAGGCGTTGGATAATTATGCAAGCGACTACAAGGCTCAGAGCGATTACTGTCAGGGTGCTTATGATAGCTGTAAGTGGCACATCTTCTCACAGTTGATAATGACTAATGAATGCCAGATAATCCTGAACTGCTTCATGGCCTGCCGGTTAGTCTACAGTAAGTACTACATGAAGCTTCTTTGTGGTGATGATAATGCTAATCTTTGTAGGCTCGTTGCGCAACGGCTGGAAGAGGAGAAGGTGCTTGCTATGACTGGGACAGTGCTTGAGGCGATACGGTCGTGAGGATATGGCGCACGTAGTATGATATACCTCCAAGATACAAGAAGCTCTGCAATGTCACAACTGCCGTTGCCACGATTTCAGATAACGTGGGTGAGTGTCGTACTTGCTCTCAGAGTGAGCGGGGCCCTTCCTGTGCAGCAAAGGAAAGAGCAAATCGCAGCCCAGTTGCGTCAGACAAGTAAACAGAGCTAGCTCAACCTTCATGTTGTCGCACTCACACGACACCGCGTCCGTACCTTCAAGCCGTCCATCCTTTGTCTCATCGCTACAACGACCAGCTTCTTCTACACCCTCTACCTCCACCGCCCTGCTTGCGCTTACCTGCAAGCAGTCGAAGCTGGTCGTCTCATATTCATTTTGCATCTCACCTTCTAGGCCGACTTCTCACTCCAACCCTCTAGCAACTCGGTCGGCAAACTTCATATGAGCGCGTAGACTATCGTCTCTAGTGTTCACACGTGTTCGCCGTCTCAGACAGACCAGTGTAATTGATCGCTCACTTAACAACATGACTGAGCCTGAGAACAATGCCTCGAAGGCGTCGAGCGCTCCCCCAAAGACGACGAAGGCGCCGGAACGCAAGAAGCTTGGAACACGAACGACATCGGACAGACTTCCCTGGCTCAGCAACAAAACTTCACAGGCCGTGGCTGCAACGTTCACGGATGGTCAGAACAGCACGACTGTGGAAAGCCCATGCAGCTCGCCTGTAGATGGTCACGAAAGCCCTAAGCCGTCTCCATCACCAAGCACGCGACCTAGCGGCAAGGTGACTGTCGCGACTGGGATTCAGCCCATTATCACGACCAGACCGATGCCACGAAGGAAGTCATCAGTACTAGCAGGTGAACGTCGGGTTCCATCAACAGCTACCAGTAGCCCATCCCCAGTGACGAGACATCGACAAGCCCAAACGCGTCGTTTCTCATTGGCGACTAATACAGTAACGCCGTTAAGGTCGGCGCATCGAACATCCATATCGCAGTCACATGAACCACAAAAGAGGCTTTCTGTCGTAAATATCAAACAAGACGTTGACGAGTCAGGGGTCAACCATGTGCACGATGCTCGCCCTCGCGCTGACAGCCTCGCGCCGGTCCCGAATCATCTTCAACAGTCCAGCACGTCAGATTGCACTAGCACACCCCCGGCAGTCATCTCTAGAGTCACAATGTCTCCCACGCAACCGGCACCAGCCCGCGTTACCTTCGAGCGGGCGGCAAAACGAAAGATTAGCAACGCAGTAGAAGACTTGGAAGACATGGTACAGGAAGCTGCCGCGGTTGCAGAGGTTGCCGATGATCGGGGCCAAATGGAAGAATTGTACACGATTATCGAGGGGGCGAGAGACGCCGTACACGACGCTACCGCCGAGCCCGAATATCTCATGACAACTGCTCTTCCTCTGAAGGTGTCTGAGTCTTCAAGCTCGCCTTCTCGCACTCACAACATACTCCCGGTTGTCGTTGATCGGACTGTTCTGGATGATATCGCCCCCGACGTCCGTCTGCATGCTGACCTACCAAGAGCTTCGGTGTCTTACGACTGGGCCTACTCGAATCAGAATGCGCGAAAAGAAAGCAGTTCTTCTACGTCGTCATGTTCGTCCAGTGACCGCAAAAGCGAACGAGACCACCTTCATGCCGATCTGCTTCTACCCAAGCTCGTTCAGCCAGCTCCGAGAGAACATGTGGATTTTGTCCTCCGTCCTGTGGGCCGTGATGAGTCTCGTGGTCGCTCTCGCCGACGCCACCACGGTGATTCCACACGACACCGACATCGACGCCACCAAAGCCCAAAGCTTGTGTGTCGACCCAAGCCCCGGCCCGAACCAAGAGATTCAGGCTTCGGTGAAACCGAGTGCTCATCCGACGAGGATGATGTACCATCGAAACCATATGGCGGCGAACTCACCGTGCGGGAACAGGCACACCATCATACGTTTAGTCTTCATCGACATCACCGTAGACAGCCAATTGCGAGAAACTGGTCTACGGGCAAGAAGCGTCTAACCGCCAGTATTGCATGCATCAACACAGCTCTGCTTGGCATCATCGTCGGTATCTACGCTGGTGAGGTACCTCGTATCCAGTACTCTCTCGCAGACGAACGCCATATCGTGATCATAGGCAATGCAGTACTCTACGCTGGACTTGCCATCTCGACCTTCTTCGCTTGGACACTACCTCTCCTGCACGGACGCAAGCCCTACATTCTCGCTTCTCTAGCGATCGCCTTGCCACTTCAGTTCCCTCAAGCTATTGTTGTAAGCGGCTACCACAACAAGGAGGCAAAGTATCGTGTCGGCCTTCTGCTATCGCGCGGTGTATCTGGTTTCGTCCTCGGCTTCGCAAACGTCAATTACATCACTGTACTGCTTGACCTCTTTGGGGCTTCGCTACAGTCCAAGAATCCGCACCAAGAGTTCGTTGTCGCGAATGATGTCCGCCGCCATGGTGGGGGTATGGGTATGTGGCTAGGTATCTGGTCATGTTGTTGGATTGCTTCCATTGCCGTCGGCTTTCAGATTGGCGCTGCGATCATCGACCGTCTATCGCCGCAGTGGGGATTCTACATTATCGTCGTGATTCTGGCTTTTGCCTTGGTCCTCAACATCACGACTTCGGAAACGCGACGCGCACCCTTTCGGAAGTCTATAACTGAGGTGTACGACAGAGACGAGAACTATATTACCAGGCGCGTGAGTCGGGGTGAGGTAAAGTTACATATCGAGACTGAGGGACCGAAGTATTGGTTTGAAGAAGTGTGGGCGGGTATCAAGCTCATGACAATGATGCTCTGCCAACCTGGCTTCCTCGTCCTGGCACTCTACCTTGGATGGATCTACGCACAGGTAGTACTTGTGATAGTCCTTCTCGGTGCTCTGTTGTCGCGAGACTACCGATGGAAACCAACAAAGGTGGGCGCAGGCGTTATATCGATAGCTATTGGCGCCTTCCTTGCCATCCCCTTGACGAAAGCCGGCATCTTCTCTCGTGAGCGGAAAAGTGCATTTCGCACCGACTCCATGACCTTCCAGAAGCAAGTGACCTGGTCGAGCCATCTTGTCCGCCGCGCCATCTTCACGCTCACGCTTCCGCTGATGGGCATGGCGTACACTGTCTCGTCGGCTAGGTGCCCTCAACCATGGCTTGTACCGATCATCTTCGCTGGCGCTGTGGGATTCCTCAGTATCCTCGCCATAGCCGAGTGCCATGGCCTGATGATGGAGACGTTCGATACATGTGACTTGCAACCTGGAGTCAACACGCGACATCGCTTGCAAAGCATGGCTGTCCAAGATCGCAGGCGAAGGACAAACTACACCTCCTTTCCACGTGTTACTGCTGGTATATTTGCTAGCCAGATCATCGCTTTCGTCCTCGCCGCTGTCGCAACCATGGTGGGCGGCAACATGACGCGAAGTCTTGGCGCACAAAAGTCCACGGGTGCTACGGCGGGCATTCTCTTTGGCATCACTGTGCTTCTGATCCTTGTTCTCTGTCGCTTCAAGTCCGTACAAGTTATACCCAACCACACATTCGGAACCCGTCGCGACACGGCAGCCTGGCAGGAGTTCAAGGACCTAGAAAAGGTCGGCCGGGGCAGTGATTGGAAAGCTGTCGTTATTGGGAATCCCAGTGGTAAGATGAGAAGGATGAGTATGCTTGAGTTGGGCGCGTTGAGTCGCTGGACTGAGATCAGAAAGTTAAACTTTCTGATCAAAGGTGAGATGTTGGGACAGCCCAAGGAGAAGAAGCGGAGTTTCGATGGTAGTTGGTGATGGTGTTGTGAGGAGATTGTTTACTACTGGAGAAGTGTTGAATAACCTGGAGATGAATATGACAGTCAAGCACGTATTTTTCATGATACAACTACAAATCTCTCATGAAAGTGACCTCATGGTGACTAGCATGGGATTGTTGAGGTTGTAATGGCAACATGGTTGATCCCCTGAGCCGGCAAGCGGCGACGACGCACGGACTCCGCTGAAAAACCAAGCGTCACTGCCGAGCTCCATCCACCCTCACGAGACGAGCAGACGACCGGCGACACCCCATCTCCCCTCAGTCAATTCGCATCAACATGTCTCTCGCTGCATCACGTGCCGCCATACGGCAATCGACGTTTGCCGTCCGCCGCGCTGGCATCCGCAATGCCTCGACGACCGCCGAAGCCACCAACACTGTAAAGGAAACCGCGTCAAAGGCACAGTCAAAGGCATCAGAGGGTCTCACCAAGGTCACAAGCTCGGCGAGCTCAGCCGCACAGAGTGCCGGTCAAGCCGCCAACAATGCGACACAGCAGGCCACTGGACGGGTAGGAAGGATGGTCAACTTCGTCAACGGTCAGTCACACCATCTCTGCGGCGGGGGAGGGTATCAATTGGCCATGTGCGAATTGCGTGCAGTAGTCTGAGCTGAAAGAGCAAGTTGCGGAGTGCATTGGCTTGGCCGCACAGCTCTACATGGCTTATCAGGCGCAGCCATATTTGCATGGCTCACCCGTGACAGACGGATGGCCGCGAGTCGCAGAACAGCGGAAATCTCCAAACTGAACTATCGACTGACAGTACTACAGGACTGGTTCCCAAGGCTACCTACTACGGAAGGGTCGGACTCGAGCTCGGCAAGCTTATTGCCCACCAACGAAGCATGCAACCACCGTAAGCCGCCCAGCAGCACCACTCGACACACTGGAGTATCGGAATAATTACTAACTGCACCCAGCTCCGTCCAGACGATGCAGAACTACATCCAGCCCGCATTGAACGCTCTCCGCAACCCAACCTCGCTCTTCAACCGCGTAGCCAGCGAAGCCAACAGCGCCTCGCAGCAACCCGCCAACGTCCTTGCACAAGTCCGGAACATCCCTCGCGAACAATGGTACTCGATGGGAGTAGTTGTCGCCGAGGTGATTGGCTTCTTCTCTGTTGGCGAGATCATCGGCCGTTTCAAGCTTGTGGGCTACAGGACCAAGAAGGACGAGCACCACTGAGTGCGATGAGCTGAGGAAGCTACGACACGACTATTACAGCATGCACAAAGGTTCCAACGGTAGCGAGCAAGACGACGAGGGGGCGGCGAGGAAACACTGTACGATTTGGCGGGCAGGGAAGCTGAGCAAGTGTGTTTGCGGTGCACTCGGGATGCAAGGGATCCGATACTGTATACTGCACATACCTCTGATTTAGATTCCATTTTCTACACATGTGCAATTATTGGCAATGCATCTACTTCAGTCCAAGCACCTACTTCAGTCAAACCAACGATAATGATAGCTGCGTGAATGCTCGAATGATCGGCGCTAGTTGCGCCGAATCGCCGCGGCCCAGTTATTTTTCTGAGCGCATCCATCCAACTTTTGCAGTGTGAACAAAACCCAAGTCGCCATGCCGGACAGAATATAACTCGCTCTTTTTGACTCTGCCCTGATCCTCCGCCACTATGAACGTGTTCAAACTCCTCTCGCGATCCTCCAAAGCGGCGCCAAGCTCGTCCGCGCAAAAGCTTCCCTCCTCCGGCGCCGTCGCAAACCCGCAGCTGTTTGGCCACGACGACCCAGCACAACCGTCCGACACGTCGAATACCAGTCGCAAGAGGAAGAGAGGGCAGAATGGCCGGGATGCATCGCCTAGCGCAAATGACCTGCCCGCCGACCTCGACTTCTTCGGCGGCGGTGCAAGCAAAGAAGCAGACGTAAACGGAAGCACGCTATCCAAGAAGCAGAGGAAGAAGCAGAAGCAGCAAGAGAAGAAGGAGGAAGAGGCCAGACTTCAAAACGATACAGAGGAAGTAGAAGAGGAGCCATACGACGTGGACGAGTGCAAGCGGATACTGCGCTCGCACAAACTCAAGGTTTCGGTCCTGGAAGACTTCGCGCCGCAAGTAGAAGAGCCAGTCAAGGAGAAGAAGTCGAAGAAGCGGAAGAAGGAAAAGGAGGTCAAGGAAAAGAAGAAGGATGCGAAGAAGTCGCTCTACCCACAACCCCTCACCTCGTTTGCGCAGTTACGGACGCGATACGCTATCTCGAGACGACTGGCGGAGAATATAGCGGAGCAGGGGTACAAGCTCCCTACCGAGGTGCAACTGGGCGCTTTACCGTTGCTGTTGAGCAAGAAGGGGCGCGAGGGATCGGATGGGGTTGCACAGGATGCCGAGGGCTTGTCTGGGGCTCAGTATAATGGGGATATCGATCTTTTGACCGTGGCGCCGACGGGCAGTGGAAAGACGATAGCGTTCCTGATACCGATTATCGATTCTCTGCTTGCGGAGGGCAAGACTGCGGATACAAAAGAGGGTCCTCGCGCCGTTATTCTTGCTCCTACGAGAGAACTCGCTGCGCAGATTGTCAATGAGGCGAGGAAATTGGCGAAGGGGACGGCGGTCAAGGCTACGCTTATGAGGAAGGGTATGCGAGTTGTGCAGGAGCCAGAAGAAGAGACGGAGGACGACGCAGAGAAAGCTGAGGTATCGGACAACGACGACGACGACGAGTCTGAGTCGGAAGACGAGGAGGCGACAGCACCAAAGAAGAAGCAAGTTGGTCGACGGGCAGAGCTTGTGAAAGCTGCCATCTTGGTCGCGACACCACTGGCCCTGCTGAATGCCTTGAAGCGCACGGATGGTACCGTCGCGGGTATCCCCAGTGTATCCCAACTCGTCCTCGACGAAGCAGACGTCCTCCTCGACCCTCTCTTCCGCGAACAAACCCTCGCGATATGGAACGCGTGCACGAACCCGAAGCTACGAATCGGTCTCTGGTCCGCAACAATGGGCTCGAATATCGACAGTTTGACTACGTCTACCTTGAACGACCGCTGGACCGCCCTTTCGACCTCATCCACTTCCCAGCCCACCGCCCTCCCCGCACGACCCCCCCTCATCCGCCTCGTCGTCGGCCTAAAAGACTCCGCCATACCAAACATATCCCACCAACTCACCTACGCCGCAACCGAACAAGGCAAGCTCCTCGGTCTGCGCCAACTCCTGCATCCAACCTCTGTTTTCACATCAACTTCGACCCCTATCCTCCGGCCCCCTTTCCTCGTCTTCACACAAACCATCCCCCGCGCCATCGCCCTCCACTCCGAACTCCTCTACGACATCCCGCCTGAAGCAGGCGGTAGTTCGCGGATCGCAGTCCTCCACGCTGATCTGAGTTCGTCGGCTAGAGATGGCATAATGACGCGGTTCCGTCGGGGAGAGATCTGGGTCCTCATTACAACGGATTTGTTATCCCGCGGCGTGGACTTCCGCGGTCTAAACGGCGTGGTAAATTACGACGTCCCTTCCTCCGCAGCCGGCTATGTGCACCGCGTAGGACGTACTGGGAGGGCTGGCCGCGAGGGAGGCGTTGCTGTGACGTTTTACACTCAAGACGATATTCCGTTTGTGAAGTTGATTGCGAATGTTATCCGGGCGAGCGAGAAGATGAGGGGGGTTGGTGAGGGGGAAGGATGTGTGAAACAGTGGTTGTTGGATGCTTTGCCGACGCCTAGTAAGAGGGAGAGGCAGGTGCTTAAGAGGAGGGGTGTTGAGGCGAGGAGGAGTGTGAAGGCTGGGGGGAAGGAGGGGAGGAATGGGAAGGCGGTGAAGGTGAAGGTGGATAGGATTAGTAGTAAGAGTGGGTATGATCGCAAGATTGAGAATAAGAGGAAGGGGGCGAGGGAGGCGGCGAGGAAGAGGGAGACGGCTGGACGAGGTCAGGAAAGTGGCGAGGAGAGTGGGTTTGAGGGGTTTGATTAGATAGTTATGGACGATCAAGAGTAGTTGGTTGAATGTATGAGACAATAGCATGCGAGGCTTTTAGCGTTAAAACATTCAGAACATTACATGTCCATACAAGGGGATCACCGTGTTTTGTGAGCTTTCTACTCAATTTAGAAGTAATCCATACAGGAGCTTTCATGGATGTGTGTTTAAGTTCTACCTTAATCCGAGTTCTAATGTTTAGATGTTCTGTTCCTGTAGCTGAACATGTGCGTATAAACTGTCGATGCCCGCTGCATAACCCACAGTTACACCTTAATACACCATGATAGAAAGTGTTATTCCGTAACAGCAAAGTTTGAGACACGACGCGTTATCTATATTCTCTACTCTTCTGATTGGTTTACCGAGTCGAAGTTGTAGTCCCAGGAGTTGACATCTGTACACTCCATCACAACACGATACTATACCATCACTGCGTTACAGGACTAATCTGCCTTTTGGCTCCACGATCTCGTTACCAGACATCTTGTTTTTGTCTTGTCCATCCAATCACCGTTGGCGAAGCGCGTTCCGTCCTCTTGGGCCTAGATACAGGACCTTCACGATTGTACATGCAAAGCTGAGGTGGGGCTTGGAGAGCTGGGGGACATAAGGCATGGGCTTTGGTATCCTTGGTAGGGCCGAGGTTTGCTTCTAGATGAGTGTGGAGTTAGTGCTTCTAATGCCGCTTTCAATCTTCTCCTCTTGTTTGGCGGATTATAGAACGAATGGGACATACAACATGATGGCCTTTCCAAAGCTGCATCGTAACTTGCTTTTTCGGTCGTCAATTGCTAGCAAGCCCATCCTCGTCTTTGCTCCACTCCCCAAACTAGACATATCGACGGACAACGACGAGTGGCACGGAGAAGTTGACCGCGATATCAGCAACGGGTATGGTACCCATCGCTCATGTTGGAGAGTCTTGGTCGTCCTCACTTGCCAGGGTCCATGGGATTCCTCACCCTCGGATAGCTCCGAAAAAGCAAATATAATCCCATGCAGCAGTGCAGCTGACGGGAAAAAGCATTTCCGGCGCTGTCTCTTGTGGCTTGCAGACGCACAAGGAATTCCTTTGTCCGTTCCATTCTCGACTGCTGGTATCCCATCCTTCGCTTAGCCGGCAACCCTGAGATCTGCTTGAGAGCCAGCCTCGGCCCCAGTCCCTTGGCTGCCCAGGTCGATCGAGAGACGATCTGGTCTTTTGATGCAAGTCACCGGTTCGTACATCCCGATAGCTGGTCTAGGGACGTCAAACACGGCCGACTGTTGTTGATGCGGCCCGGTTTTAGTCCTTTCATCGCACTCACGCTGTTGTTTTGAGGGTGTGAAGGCATGCGAGCCTTGTGCGACGGCGGTCCTGAACTCCATGTCCACTTATGTCCGTCAAATGCCTCGTCCCGATCGGTGTCGTTGTGCGGAACCGCGCTATGAGTCTCATTCCCGGTCGGCCTCATGCTCCGGACTCCAATCCCTAAAGATCTCATTAACAAGCAATGTGACCACGAGCTGACGCAGTTTGCGACGATTCCCTGGCTGAGTGGCCAGCGAGCTTATGCTTCGGAGGAAATAGGCAGAGTACTGCTGTGGTGGAATGCCGCGGTGGAACGAGAAAAGATGGGTGCTGAGGACCATGATTGAAGCGGGCGAACGCTGTGTTGACTTATCCATCTGCGGGCTGGTTCATAGATCAAGACGCTCTTGACGGTGCAATCAGCTTCGAACCGTGGGGGAGATCCAATCGCATCTTACTCGGCTCGCACTGCCTCACAGATAACATGGGCCTGGTGGGTGGCGCTTGCACCACCCCGCATCTCATAGCCTAATCACTCAGCTGTTCAAAGGCGATTACAGGCGTGAATTTCCGCATGTTGCAAATTTCCGTGCATGTGTCCCTCTGTGGTCTGATGAGTAAAAGTCTCGAGTTCGAAAGACTCAGTGTCTGTCCGTAGAATTGTTCCAGACCGATGACTGGTAAGATCGCCTACCGCGTCTATCCTGTCAGCTGGGTAGGGCGGTTCGAGGCGTTTTTGAGGCGTACGGATACGGGTAGCAGCAGGATCGTTTGGCTGCCGCTGTCGTGTCCACACCAGGAAGCCAAGAAACGTGGGCTATTGCCGGTGAAGTCGTGTAACCATGTCGCAGTGGACCATACCCGTCTGTGATTACGCGGACTCAATTCGATTATTTTGACTGGTCGTCCTCTTCAGTGCGGTTCTTTCGATAGAGCGCAATAATACGCTA